CAATTCCATGTCATAAACAGAGAATTGTTTAGACACCACACTGAACAGTCAATTTTTTTTTTTTTCATTTTCTCCATTTCAGTGGTCTGTAACTTGTCTTGCTATGTTATCTTCTTTTAAGGTTATTTTATTCTTCCTTTTTTACACAATATGTCTGCTCTGTTATTTGTCCTAACACTATTTTTTATTCTAGTGTTTTAGTACCCACCTGTATACCTGTGCTCTTTCATTTTCCTTTACTATTTGCCCAGTATGGTTTTTGATCATTCACTTTTAAATCCAGACATATTATGATTGATGCAAGCATCGACCATTTCACATTGTCTTCCAATGTGCCTGAGCATTTATGCATTGAAATAGTCATGCCTGAACAGTTACATATTGAAATACCTATTATTATAATTTACTTTCCTTCTGTATCTCCTTAATATTTTAGTTAAGACTTTACATTTATTTTCTTTTGGAAATTATATGTACGGGTGATTAGCAGCAAACTTTGTTTCAGGGAGGCATCGTAACAGGTGGACATTTGTTAGTTTAGCTTTGTTATTAGGAGCTCATATGGTACCCAGGTCTAATTAATACAAGTTCATCATTACAAGCTTCTATTTCTCTAGGAAACAGCCATTTAAAAAATGGAAGTGCCTAGGATTTCAAATGAAACCTTTTTAAAAAGATTACCTTACAGGATTTGGCATCTAATATATTTAGAATGACAAAAATATATATATTTCAAAATAACATGCTCTTAACCCAACCAAATGGCTGAATTTTTCTTCTTCTTTTTTTAAAAAGGAAAAAAAAAATCCATGATTCTTTTTTTATCCCCCCTTTTTTGTCTTTTTTCGTGACTGGTAACGGGATTGCAACCCTCAGTGTCGCGCCCACACTGCGAACGGCAACGGGATCGCAACCCTCGGTGTCGCGCCCGTACCGTGACAGGCAACGGGATCGCAACCCTCGGTGTCGCGTCCGCACCGCGCTCAACCAGTGAGCGGACCGGTCTCTATATGGGATCCGAACCCTCGGCAGGAGCGCCGCCGCACTCCCAAGCACTGCACTCTACCGAGTGCGCCACCAGGCCAGCCCTTTAAGCAATTCTTAAAAAGCACTTTGAAGTTGGCTACAAGTAGGGTGAATGTTCCCCAGTTTTCCTGCAACAGTCCTGGTTTACTCCTGTTGTCTTGGCATAATTACTAATTGTGTCTCTTCAGTGTTGACAGTCCCTGTTTGGATGATAAATGATATCACCACACATTGTGAGAAGCATTTCTCCTCTTTACAGTCTTGATCACATGATTCACTTTTTGAGCAGTATGTACTGTCTTTCTATATCCTTTGACAAAAAGTGCTAGGTCTACTTTTATCCTTTCCACTTTTGAACTTTTCACTCCTAAAACCTGCCAGCATTCTCTTTTACTCTTCCTTGAAAAATCTAAGATAACTGGTTAAAATACCTCCAATGTCTTGGCCTTTTCTTTTCCTCAGAACTTAATCTTGTCCTCCCCAATTCTCTTACTCATTCTTCTATTTTTGGCATTTCTACCTTAATCCCCTTTCCATTTATTTTTCTACATAGTCTTACTGTTCTGCCAGATTTTCATACTTTCACAAAATTAATCGTACCTTATCTGACAATTTACAACTTAAATTTTTTTCCCATAAATAGACCTTGTTAGTTATTTTAGCCCAAATTCTCTTTTTGTTTTGATGTAAACTCTCTGATGTTAACTCACATTAAGATAAGCATTCCTCAGTTCCATTTTTAGCTGACTGCTTTATGTGTTACCTTTGATTCATACCAGAAGATCTTACCCTGACATAGAAGTTACCTCTAAATAGCATTCTTTTGCTGTTCTTTGGGGAAATGCCATATTTTTTGCTTTTACTTTATTTTTTAAGGGATAAAGGAATTTTATCCTTTGGATTAAGATGTTTAGCTCCTAAGAGTTTTTTAAATGCTCAATCTAATTTTTTGATTGTGGTAAAAAACATATAACGTAAAATTTACCATTTTAAAGTGTACAATTTAGTGTCATTAGGTACATTAACAATGTTGTGCAACCACCACCGCTATCTTGTTTCAGAATTTTTTCATTACTGCAACTGGAAACCCCATACCCATTGAGAGGTCACTCTGTATCCCCTCCTGCCCTAGCCCCAGCAACTACTAACTTCAACCTTTCTCTGTGGATTTACCTCTCCTGGACATGTCATATAAATGTAATTATGCAACATGTGGCCTTTTGTGTCCGGCTTCCTTCACTTAGCATACTTTTTCAAGCTTCATCCATTTGTAGCATGTAGCAGTACTTCATTCCTTTTTATGGCTGGATAATATTCCATTGCATGAACAGACCATTTTGTTTAGCCATTCTTCAGTTGAGCAGTCTAATTTTTTTTCTGTACTATGAGTTGGGATGATCAGTCTAATTTTTATTGAATGTTTACTCCAAGATGAAATGAGTGATACAGTAGCACTGATAAGTGCAGTGGGTAGTTCATAGATATTTTTAAGTGATTGGGTATGTGAATAATGCTGTTGCGTAGAGCATGCATAAGAAACCCTGTTCACCCTCTGTTTGGATGCCAGATTTTACTTACTTTCTCCCCCCCCCCCCCCCCTTTTTTTTTTTTTTTTTTTTGTAACTAGATCATATTTTTTTTCTTTACCATTCTATTTATGGGTTTTAGAAAATACAGCTGAAATTACTCGAGTCCCACTATCCAAAAATAATCACTATTAATAACATTTTGATATCTCTTCTTCTGGTCATTTTCCTATGTTTGGGTATTTTTACCTAATTACAATTACATTAGATAGATATTCTTGTATGTTGCTGGGTTTCTTTTCATAAAATTCATTTATTTAATGAATATTTGAATACCTACAAGGTACTGGGGATTGTTCTGGATATCTGATGAGTAAGAAGTTCTGGTAGGGATATGGTTTGGGGATCATCAGCATATAGATGATATTTAGAGGTATGGAACTGTCTAAGACCTCCTGGGGACAGTAGAGTTGAGGTGGGGCCCAGGACTCAGCCCTAGGGCAGGCACCCCAGCATGCAAGTCAAGTAGGAAAGGACGTTGAGGGAGGACAGGCAACCCGGTAAAGGCAGGAGAGTCAAGAGGAGAAAGTGCTGGGCAGGGGAGTGGCCCCTTGTATCAAATGCTGCTGAGCATCTGAGTGAGATGGGGATGGAGCATTGACCATTGGGTTTGGCAAGATGGTGGTCAGGATGGAGTGGAGATGTCATAGCCTGTTTGGAGTGCACTGAGGAGCAAATGGGATAATATTTTAACATATTTCTGCATGTTTCATGTATGCTTAAATATAACTTAATGGCAGAATAAGACACCTAATTGTACATTTTACTTAATCACTGTTGTTTTCCTACTGTATGACATTTCTATTGTTTCCAATTTTTACTGTTACAAATAAGGCCAAAATGAACAACTTTGTAAACTTTCTGTTCTATTTTTAGCATCATTTCCTTTTAATGGAGTCACAGAAAGGGAGGTGTTGATCTAAGAGCAGAATATCTTTAAAGCTTCTGATTTTAACTTGCTCAAATACTTTCCAGAGGGACTGAACAGTTTGCACTTCTTACAGTAGTGTCTGAGGGGTCCCGGCATCTTGACTGTACATGTCAGTTGGGTTCTTCCAGAACAAGTCTCTCCTTTTGTCAGTTTAGAAATTCTTTTAATCTCAAACAGAATGGAATGACAAGAGCCAAATCACATTATGGAATGAAAACTAGACACAGCCCACTAAGTAGTTATATTGAACAGAAACTCATGTATAGTAATCACCAATCATATGGAACCACAACTTAAGTGTGGATGGAACCTTAAAAGAGGTCTGGCTGAATGAAGTATGCAGCCATGATCTTCCTCCCCCATTCCTATTCCTGTGCAGTTGTACAAATGTGATTGGTACTAGAAGTTAAGGAAGCTTACCCTTTTCCAGTAAACACCCTGCAAATTCCCCATAGCAGCTGCCTGCCGATACCAGAGAATGACTTCCACCCTCCCCATGTGTGCCTTGGGTAGGGTTTTATAAACATTCCCAGCTTGTAGCAAAAAGAGAACAACATCCAGGGTGATCACCATCTCAAAAATGTCCTCTCCTCCCCCTCCCCATTCCTCAAATTAAACCTCCACGAGTTTATAGGTACTTCCTGGTCACATTATGAATTGTCCTTCCAGCTGCCTGAGCTGGATGAAAGGAGCCCACCCCAGCTGCAGCAGCTGCCTTTGCTCTTTAACTGCTTCCTGCCCAGCATGGCAGCAGTGCACCCAGGACCAGTAGCACCCAGTGTGATAGCGTCTAGTGTGGCATCATCTCAGCTAGGGCAATGCCCAGCGTGGCAGCACTGCAGATTCTGGGGAGGTGCCGGCTCCACTGTTTCTCATCTCCAGTGATTGGTCCTGCTGCATTTCAGCTCGTTGCTATGTGCTGGGCCTTAAGCGGAAGAGTGGAGTGTTGATTGTGTCAGTCGTGAACAGACGTGGTAAGAGATGTGCACAGGCATCTCCCCCGCTCCCTTTACCACGTCATTTTCTGTAGAGGTACGGGATTACCACAGATAGTTCCCCAAATGAAAGGACCAGCATGACACTAACAATTCAGCAGAGTGGCTGAGTGTTCTAGAACCTGGCAGACCTGGGTGAATTTCTGCACTGTTCCTGGCTCTGTGACCTTGCACAGGTGACTTAACTTCTCTGAATCTCATTTTTCTCATGTTTAAAAAGTAGGTGGATAATGTAGTCCCAGCCTTATTAAACTATTGCAAGAAATTCACGTGATAATATATGCATAGTACCTATGATAGGTACTGTGCACATAGTGACGCGGTATGTGCGCAGTCAGGGTTAATAGTTACCATCACTATCCCACCCCACCCCCTTGTTGAATCTTCCTGACTTTCATTGCTCCAAGTCAGTGGCTCAGACCTGACTCTTCAACCCTCTTTCTGTTTCATACTTGCAGGTAGATTTGTGAAGAAGCATGGTCAGCCTGTTGTTTCTAAAACCCTGGGGTGAGTTCTTGGATATCCAAGGCAAAGTCAGGGTTGGATTGGCTTTTCCTGCTGACTTGACCAGGATAGGTCCAGAGAGCAAGTCTTCTTGGGCATCCTGGGTTGTAATAAGTAAAGGGTAGGAGCCTCATGTGATGGATATGTCATTCACATGGTATCTCCTGACCTGGCAGCCTTTGTGGGTAGCCCCTTTGACTGGCCCAGCCACTAACTGTTAATGAGGTGGGAGATGTGGTCATAATCTGCAGGGGGATGTAACAATCAAGGCAGTAGAAGATTTAAATAAGCAGATTTAGAAGAGGCAAGTAACAATAGCTGCTGTAACAGACAAGCCCCAAGTCACAGTGGCTCAACATAGGTAACTTTTATTTCTTACTCAAGGAGGGTTCAACTCAGATATTCTTGAATAGTTGGAAAGTCATCCACGTTATCTTTCAGGAACCCAGGTTTCTATTTTGCAGCTCCATCGTCTCCTAGGGCCTTGGAGCCTCTGCATCTAGCCAGCAGAGTGGGCAAGAGAGTGTGGCAAATCTTGCAGGAGGTTTTGATGGGTCAGCCCTGGAAGTGGCATACAGCACTTCTACTGGCCAAACCCCAGACTTTGGGCCAGAGCTCAGTAGAATTAAGGTATACCTAACTGCAAGGGAGGCTAGTAAATGAAGTCTAGCTGCATGCCCAGGAGGTAGAGGAAATAGGTTTTGGTGCCACAGATTTTCCCAGAGGGGGCGTGAGAAAGTATGTGAGGCATAGAGTTGGAAAGCCTACCCTCTGATGCTTTCTGACCCCCACTTAAGTGACTTGGGTGGGAGTGGAGGGAGGAGGATTGAATTGCTACCTTGTCTAGAGCTGGATTTTCTGCTGATTTTTTTTTCCCCCAGGGACAGATTTTCAGCCCCAGCGGTGGAGACGCATCCTAGCATCTGGGGAGAGTGCCCACCAAAGTTTGCTACCAAGATGGGCCGAGCAGTGGTCAAAGAAGGACAGATGGGACGATTCTCCTGCAAGATCACTGGCCGGCCCCAACCACAGGTCACCTGGCTGAAGGTGAGGTTTTTATCTACCCTGACTCTGACCCAGGCCTGAAGACCGTAAAAGTTCAGAGTTAGACCCTTCAGCCGGTGGGAATCTGTCTTTTCAATCAGTCCCTCTGTTTCAACCATTGGTAGTTCTCGAGGGTTCTCTGTATGTTTGATAGTGATGCTCGTTTTTGCCCCTGTTTGCACACTTTTCCTCTGTTATTCAGACCACAGTGACCTATAATCTTCATACTCACAAAATAGCATAAAACTTCTTAGTCAAGGCAGACCTGACAATCTCAAGAGAGTGGAATTTGAAGTAATGGTGCTAGGTGTCAAGCCACAGTCCCTGGTCATAAAGCATGAGATACTAGATAAGTCATTTGATCTCTTAGAACCCTGGTTTCCTCATCTGTGAGGCAGAAATAATACCACTTCCCCCCAAACAAGGAGGCTCCATGTGGAAGTGCTCTATATACCATTCAGGGCTAAGCAAAGTGGAGATGGGGGTGTGAGAGGTGGTAGTGGAGGGGGTTGTTAAACAGGGCACGAAGGAATCACAGAGAACAGATGGGATCAAGGCCAGGGAGAGTAGGTTCTTTTGAGATGGAAGTCCTAGACAAAAATGGGTGATAGGGCGCCTTTTACCTACTTCCTCATGCTCCTTAACTCACTGTGGAAAACAAATAAAAGGAACAGGGAGGCAAAGAAAAATAGAAATGAGGAATAGAGGATTTCCTAACTCAAAATCAGGCTCCTTTGAAACAGTTCGCTCTAAACTGTACTGAATACCATGCCGTATACATAGACCTCGAATCAGGGCCCTTGGATTGTCCGAAGACTGCTTGGAGAGCCTGTTAACAGAGCCCAGAGCAGAGGGCTCTGCCACCCGGGCCCTGGTGTCTGTCACACCAGGATTAGCAGGAGGGCAGTGCCAAAGGTAAGTAGACTTCTGTGACCCAGCCACGCTATTGCCATCCACAGGGAAACGTCCCACTGCAGCCAAGTGACCGTGTGTCTATGTCTGAGAAGAATGGGATGCAAGTTCTGGAAATTCATGAAGTCACCCAAGATGATGTGGGAGTGTACACATGCATGGTGGTGAACGGGTCAGGGAAGGCCTCCACATCAGCTGAGCTTTCCATCCAAGGTAGCCGCTGGGCAGTGCGGAATGCTCCCCTCCTGTGCCACACCCTCCTAGAGCAGCTGCTCATTCATTACGCATCTGAGTTGTATACACGTGGCACACCTGCATACCCATGTGTTCTCCAGGGGCAGGGTCTTAAGATGAAAGGGAGGTGGGCGGGCGGCACAGACCCAGCCACAGAGGAAGATGATGCGAGCCGGGCTGCACCTTCACGTGTGTCCCTACACTTTACACCGCACATGTCTTCAGTCCTTTCTTCTCACTCAGACTACTCTTTTGTATCTGTGATTGCCAATTGGAAGAGTGGATGTTGCTAATGTCTTGCCATCACCCCAAAGTTAACCTGCCTGAAACTTAACTCATCATTGGCTCTGTCTTTCAAATCAGGTGTTCCTTCAACTTTACTCTTTCTACGCAGGCCCCCCCATGTTCCTTCTCACTCAGGCTGGACATTTCAGCATCCCCTCTCACCCGTGTCTCTTCCTTGCTTTAATCATCTGCCCTTGTCAGCTGTACCCTGGAGATCTCTCTGGGTATGTCTTCTCCTTGCAGTCCTCTTGGTTCCTCCAGGTCCAGCCTGGAAGCTGGAGCACATGGATGGGGAAGGGGCTGGATGTCACTTCACTGGAGCAGGAACCCTGAGGAAGGTGGGGGGTCCGAAACGGACATGATCTTCATGGCTTCCTCCTCCTTTCTTCTTCTTTTCTCTCTTCCTATCTCCTTTTCTTTTTTTTTTTTTTTCCTTTTTGTCTTTTTTCGTGACCGGCAACGGATTGCAACCCTCGGTGTTGCACCCGCCCCTCGCTCAGCCAGTGAGCGGCCGGTCTGTATGTGGGATCCGAACCCTCGGCGGGAGCGCCACCGCACTCCCAAGCGGCGCACTGTAGCAGTGCGCCACCGAGCCGGCCCCCTTCCTATCTCCTTTTCTTTTTTTTTTTTTTCCTTTTTGTCTTTTTTCGGGACCGGCAACGGATTGCACCCCTCGGTGTTGCACCCGCCCCTCGCTCAGCCAGTGAGCGGCCGGTCTGTATGTGGGATCCGAACCCTCGGCGGGAGCGCCACCGCACTCCCAAGCGGCGCACTGTAGCAGTGCGCCACCGGGCCGGCCCCCTTCCTATCTCCTTTTCTCAAAAACTATTCCTCCTTGCTCTCTTTATTTTTTTGGCCTGAGTGTTTTTCACAATCCACAGAAAGAAATTTATTTTATGTTGCAACCCAAAACATACGTACGGATATAAACATATTTAACTGAAGCATGTTTCATGAAACAGTCCTGACTTGTACTGTGTATAGTGCATGCTGGTATTTTCCATTCCACTTAACACCATTAAAAAAAAATCCTGGTCCTGACCAAAGAATTTGGCTTTGCAGCTCATGACTGTGTCTGGAGCTGCCATCAGGCATCTGGAGCAGCATCTTAGCCACTGTCCCTTTACTTGCCCTGGCATGGAATCAAAAAGCTGTTCCCTCCTGATGCACTTGAGTACAAAATGTGTTGCCTTGGATTTTTTAAATATTCAGAAACAAAAATAAAAAGGGATAGATAAGACTGGCAAAATGTTGGTATTTCCTTGATCTTGGTGATGGCTCTCAGGGTTTGTTATATTCTTCTCTCTAGTACTGTATATTTTGAAATTTTCCAAGATAAAATTTAAAAAAGAATGTGGCAGGAAAAAAAATATATATATTTTTTGAAAAACTGAATAAAATTACACTTTTTCTGTATGTTTTTAAAGCATGCACTTGTCAAAAACGAACACTTAGGGGGTTTGTTATTGAGGGCCATGCATAAGTTAAAGAGTTTGAGTTTAAAATTTTCAGTAGACATCTATTTTTGTTTGGTTCTTGTTTGGTTTTTGTTTGCCTCTGTTCAGTCAGCAGGAACAGATTCCAAGCCCTCAGGATATGTATGGTAGCATCAGCCACTATTAAAAAGCCCAGGAAGGGCAGCACTGGAAGCTCTGACAGTGTGCTCCAGGGCTGAGAGGAATTTCTCAGACTAACCAGAGAATTTCAGCACCAGGGGAGCTGGAAGGAGTGAGGCTGGGTGGACCATAGTGACTGGGAAATGCAGGGGAAGTGACAGCTTGGTGTGTAAAATATTCCACTAACAGTCTTTCTACCCTTCCTCCTTTTTTCAGGTTTGGACAATGCCAATAGGTATGTCTAGGCTTTGTGATTATTCTGCTTTCCATCTTGAAATGTGCTGCAAAGATAGAAGGCTTGTTTTTGAGAATTGCCCTGAATTTCCAAGTCGTCATATAGGGAGGGAGGATTGGCTGTTTGGAGGCATTGTTTTGTTTTATTCTCCTGTTGTAATATGCCTTACAGGTTCTGTATGAGGGTTGCTGTCAGTATCGAGACTCTTGGAAACTCAGTGCCTCCATCTTTCTCAGCAATCTGCAGCACCCTTACTCCTTAACCATTATTCGGAAGGGCGCTCTGCTCTGAGAACGCTGCCCTGCACCATCCAGGCCAGGACCCATTCGCTCATTCAGCCCATAGTCAGCAGGAGCTTCCCTTCCCGTGTGTGAGGCTCAGTGCTAGATGTTGGTATACGGGGGTGAGCAGACAATCTAGTGTAGAGAAGGGCTTTAAACAAGAGTTGCATGAATACATAGTTAGACACTGTGATATGTCATGAGGAAGAATAGCAGAGAGGTGCTACTCTAGATTAGAGGGTCGGGGAAGCCCTTTCCGAACACTTGATATTTGAGTTCAGCCCTGTGAAGACTAATATTTGCTGGTGAAGAAAGACTCAGGGAGAAAGTGTTCAAACAGGGGACAGCATGTGCGACACCCATGAGGTGAGAGGTGGGCATGTGTGGGACCCAAAAGAACACCCAGGTGGCTGCAGCTTGGGGGGCAGCACGATGGTGTCTTTTCAAGAGGCAGCTGGATCCAGCATCCTGTAGGCCATCTGGAGAAGCTTGGTTTTATTCTTAATCCAGTGGAAAAGCTGGTGGAAAATCCTTGAGCTTGAAATGACATAATATGATCTGTATTTTTAAAAGATTGACCATGGTTGCTGTGTGGGAAATGGATCAGAGGGGGCAGAGTGGACAGGGGAAACCAGTTGGGTGGTTTAATGGACGGGGCACCCATGGAGAAGGGAAATGTAGGTAACACAGGGCTCTGGATGGGATGCAGGACAGGGAAGTGTCAAGAGTGTCTGCTTGTGCTCAGGCTTGGGAAACTGAGCAAACTGCAGAGAAAGACTTTTGCTCTCACTCGCTCTTAATTTGTGGGCTTGTGTGATCCCTGGGATCTGTGCTTGTGATGAGTAATGTTTGAGAGTAACCAAAAGCCATTCTATTCCTCCTCTTCTCTTCCCCTCCACCACCCCACCACCATCACCCAACAGGTCCTTTGAGAAAGGAACAAAAGCCACCAATTCAGGCATCAGGAGGGAGGTGACCAATGGAATCTCGAAGGAGCCGAAACCAGACAGCCTGGAGACTGTGGCCGAAAATAAAAGCTGCTCCAGCCCCCAGAGAGGCAGCTCCCCAGCCTGGGCCATGAACAGCCAGTCTCAGCCCCTGAGAGAGTCCAAGCTGGAGCCAGGCAGGGACTTACCCAGAAAGGTCCTGCAGACCCCCGTCCTTCAGAAGACTTGCAGTACCATCACCCTGCAGGCCACAAAAGTCCAGACGGAAACGACAGCACCAGTCTTGGGGGCCCTCTCTCCTTCTGGGGAAGAGAGGAAGAGGCCAGCGGCTCCTCATCCAGCCACCCTCCCCTCCAGGCAGTCTGGCCTGGGAAGCCAAGAAGTTGTGAACAAGGTTGCTACCAGGAAAACCTCCATGGAGAGCCAGAGGGATTCGACGTTCCCCAGATTCGAGAGCAAGCCCCACAGCCAGGAAGTCAGTGAAGATCAAATAGTCAAGTTCAGATGTGAGGGTGAGTAGAACTAATTAAGGTCACTGGTTCCCAGACATGGCCCCTTGGTGGCCACTCCCCTCCTTCAGCACACAACTGGTCTGTACCTCCTATATCCCCTGGTGCCCTTGGACTCAGTCCTTGGGAAGCCACTTCACAGGGGTCTTGCTGTCAGAAAGGACTCAGTCTGAAAATGTCCTTTATTCTGGAGAGACACCCGACATGGCCCATTGCTCATGGCTGAATGGAGCGTTGGCCTGTGCCTAACTTTTGCCACCCTAGCAGGGAAAAACCCTCATCATCACCATCATCAGAAAACAGCAGGATCCCCTCCTCCCTTTCCGTCTTCAGCTGGCCTGGAGAGCTTGCTCATCCCCTTGCATTCCTCTCCCCAGGCCCCTGACTCTGGCAGGGGTGTTTGCTCCTGTGGAGTGCAGGGCTGAGGACAGGAAAGCAGACTCAGGAGTGGGAGGGAAGCTCCTCACCAGACTGGGCTCTTACCTGGTTCCGCCCTGTCCCACAGCACAGTGTGCTCTCCAGGAGGGCTCATGTTCTTCACCTGGCCCTGTAGTTTCAGGGATCCCAAAGCCTGACGTGGCCTGGTTCCTGGAAGGTGTCCCTGTGAGGAGACGAGAAGGCACCATCGAGGTTTATGAAGATGCCGGGTCCCATTACCTCTGCCTGCTGAGAGCCCGGGCCAGGGACAGTGGGAAGTATAGCTGCACAGCTGCCAACATCCGAGGCCAGGTGTCCTGTAGCTGGACCCTCCTAGTGGAAAGTGAGTACGTTCCTCCAGGGCACCTTGGGTTCTCTGGGGGAGGGCCATTCACATAGCCACAGTTCCTCTCCGACAGCCCCCGCCATGGGTGCACAACCCAGTGGCATCCCCACCCACATGCCAAGGCCTAACACATCACTCCAGGCCAGTCATTCTCAATCAGGGGTTCACATCAGAATCACCTCAAAATAAACGTGCCCAGGTCCCACTCCCAGCCTAGCTGAGAGCTACCATATTTAGGTTCCTCGCCTGTCCAAGTAGTGCCGTGACTCAATTTCATAACCACAGAGAGCCAAGCGTTCACTAAGTATACGGTTTAGAGTAATGTGAGATGATGTGGGATCCCACATCTTTTACGTTTATTGTAATATCTGTTTATAAAAGTAATGCATGTTCATTGTGGGGAATGTAAACAATATATAATTTTATGACTCAGAAATAAGTGATATTTTAATGTTTTTTAAACAAAATCAGCATTGTACTGTTTGTATACTGCTTTCTATCCTAATTTGCTCACATAACATAAACATCTTCCTGTATTTATTATTCTTTGAAAGCATGATTTTTGATGGCCATGTAATATTGCAGAGAATGGATGTGTCTAATTTAGGCATGCTCTTATTTGTTGAATATTTAAATCGTGTCCATTTTTCACTATTAAAACAAAACTGTGAGGGGCCGGCCCGGTGGCGCACTGCTACAGTGCGCCGCTTGGAAAGCGCGGCGGCGCTCCCGCCAAGGGTTCGGATCCCACATACAGATCGGTTCCCACTCACTGGCTGAGCGAGGTGCGGGGAGCAACACTGAGGGTTGCGATCCCGTTGCCGGTCCTGGGCTGGTACGGGCGCGACACTGAGGGTTGCGATCCGTTGCCGGTCATGAAAAAAGACAAAAAGGAAAAAAAAAAAAAAACTGTGATAAATGTCTTTGTACCCATCTATTTCTCTGTAAAATTTCCCTCTTACTTTACTGTGGACCCTAGACCCATTTCATACCATTGAGAAACCTATTAAACAATACCACAGGGGTAGAATCACCAAATTGCAGGCCGTTGGAAACTCTATGGGACAAATAACCTTTGCCCATTTTTTTCAAAAAATAAATTGCAATCAGTAAAAGGAAGGAAGGGAAACTTATAGGAAACAGATTAAAAGATACATAGCAATATCAACAATTGCAATATATGGACTTGTATGGATCCTGTCTGAGACAATTAAAAAACCTTTTTTATGAGAACATCAGGAAAATTTGGCCATTGACAAAATATTTGATATAAAGAAATTAGTACTATTGCAAGATGTGATTTCTGGTTATTTTTTTAAGTTCATCTATTTTAGAGGTACAGACTAAATTATGTACTGGTAAAAAGATATGACTTCTGGTATTTGCCTTAGAAATAATCCATGTTTGTCAGGGATGGGGGTGGGGTGGGGGGGTGTTGTCAGGGGTATCAATGAAACAATATCAGCATAAATGAAAGTGGAGAGATAGGTGCATAGGGATTCACTATACTGCTTTCTCTACATTTATGTGTATTTGAAAACTGTTATAATAAACATTTGAAAAAAATAACTTAGTGGTTAATCCATACAGTAGACTTCCATACAGCATCCTGTAGACTCTGATGGTGAAACATGTCTGAGATGCTCTGGTTAATGGAAAAGAGCGAGGGGTCGACTGCATATATCATATGCTATTTGCATAAAAGGAAAAAGATTCATGTATATACATGCAAAAGGTGCTTGTGTGTGCATGAAACATTTCTGGAAGGGTACACAGTTGTCTGTAGGAAGGGGCACTGGGGGCCCATGGGAAGGAGTAGGAGGAGGTCTTACTTTTCACTGTATACCGTTGATTCACTTCTGAACTGGGATTTCTACTACATTCATTAATTCCTTTGCAAGGAATATTATTAGATCCATTTGGAGATGGGAGTGTCTGTAGGTCCAGCTTGTGCCTCATTGCCCAGGCCAGGGCTCTGTGTCTGGGCAAGGAACAGACATATGGTGTCAGTCCTACCAAAGATTAACAATGTACCCAGAAGCCTAGTTTCTTTTATGACTTCCTCTTCTGTGGATTTACTGAAGTTTTGTAGACTATTTTTAGCCTGTTCACATCTTGGGGCAATTCATCTCAGGTTGCCTTCCTATCTTATTTTGTTTTGCATGATAGCTTTATTGGGATATAATTCACATAACATACACCCTTTTAAAGTGTATAATTCAGTGGCTTTTAATACATTCAAAGAGCTGTGTGACCATCACATCACTGTCTAATTTTAGAACATTTTCGTCACCCCTTCCCCCCCCAATCCTACTCATTAGCTGTCACTCCCTGTTCTCCCTTCCCCCAGCCCCTGATAACCATTAATCTACTTTCTGTATCTGTGGATTTGCCTATTCTGAATATTTCATATGAATAGAATCACACATGTGGTCTTTTTGTGTCTGCCTTCTTTCTCTTAGTGTATTGTTTTTAAGGTTCAACTATGTTCATCTGTGTTGTAGCAGTTATCAGAACTTCATTCATCTTTATGAATGAAGTAATAGTCCATTGTGTGGATATAGCATGTTTTGTTCATTCATCAGTTGATGGACATTTGGATTGTTTCTACTTTTTAGTTATTGTGAAGAGTATGGCTGTGAACATTTGTATACAAGGTTTTTTGTTTTGTTTTTTGAATACCTGTTTTCAGTTTTGAGCGTATATACCTATGAGTAGAATTGTTGGCTCATATGTTAATTCTATGTTTAACCTTTGAGGAACTGACAGACCGTTTTCCTCCATGGCTGCACCATTTTACATTCCACCAGCAATGTATAGTGTTCCAATTTCTCACCAACGCTTGTTATTTTCTGTTTTTTAATTTTAGCCATTCACAGTCATCTCATTGCAATTTTGATATGCATTTCCCTGATTACTAATGATGTTGAGCATCATTTATTGGCCATTTATATACCTTCTTTGGAGAAATAGCTATTTGTATACGTTGCCCATATTTTAATTGAGTTGTTTGTTTTTTTCCACAGTTGAGTTGGAAGAGTTCTTTATATGTTATGGATACAATTCCTTTATTAGACATATGATTTGCATTTCCATTCTGTAAAATATGGATAATTTGTGATGTGTGGCTACTGAAGTCTCTGCTTAGTTTAGTGATCAGCTAATAGTTGGATAAAGATTTCTTTAAATACCTTAAACTAATATGTCTCCCAAGGAGTTCTGTCTGTGTCTGTGCTGGGGCATGTCTTCAGAGCTCGAGATGGCAGTTTACAACTTGGCCTTAGCCTTCACTTCCTGCTTACAAAGAGACTCCAGGTCAGCCAGAGGTGAGAGAGTAGGGCCTTCTTGGGTCTTTCCTGAATGCCCACAGTCCTGCACATGTATGTGGCCTTCTAGGTTCCCAGGAAGATGTCAGAGCTTTTCCAAACCCTGGACATCCCATTCCCCTTTTCCCCAAGTTTTTTGGCCAGACTCTTGTTAGCTCCAACTGATACACCTGCCTGGAGTAGCTGTGATGTTAAACAGTTGCCACTGATTGTTTTTTATAAGCAGCCTGGTGGGTTTTCAAAGCTGCTCTGGAGCTGGGGTGAGGGGAATAGGACTGAAAATGTCACAGAGCTTGCTTTCTTCCCAAGATTCAGCCAAGGGGTTTCTTTTGGATTTTGTTGTTGTTTGTCTGTTTGTTTTTTAATGAATGCTACCCAGAATGTTGCGAGCCTTTGGTTTAGTTCTGAAATCAACTCCGAAAGTTGATTCTGATTCTTTTTGCCAGTATTCTTGTTTTTATGGAGGAGTAGATTTTTCAGAGGTCTTCACTCTGCCATGAAGTGCTTCTTGAATCCCTATCTTCTTAAAGACACTAGCTGTTCTAAGACTTCTCCAGCTTTGGAAAAAAGCTCACTTTTTTTTTTCTTTTAAGGTAGATGACTTACCAGGATCAGGTCGTCTGCCATGTGCAACCTCATGGCATTGTCAGAGTCATATCGAGAAAAGTACCTGGCGTAGAGTCGGCCCTCAAAGACTATTAGTTTCCTGCTATAAGCCCTTGTGGTGTAATATGGCTTCCCCTCACCTTTGTATTGAGTAGCCTCTCTTGAAAAACACCAGCGATGGTTCTAATCACCAAATCCAGTTACTTTTTCACATCTGTCAGCCACCTTGACATTTCTGCAGCATATTCTGGTGGTCATAGAAGAGATTATTCCTGTTGCTCTTAATTAACATTTCCAAACTACAGAATGTTTCCCCAATTCACAAATGTGGAAAGCTTTTGGAAAGTTCAGATCAGTGGTTGTCAACTAGAATGTGCATCAGGGTCATGAGGGGATGTTGTTAATGCCTATTCCCAGCCCACACGGATTCTGAACCCTTGACCCAGGTTGCAGCTCAAACTATACTCAGAAAACTAGAACACGTGTGAGCCTGTCCTTTGATTCAGCCCTGGAATTTGAAAAAATAATGATTTAAAATTGAAACATCCTCACTGGTGGGCCTGTGGTCTCTACAAGTAAAAAGATACTCACAAGACTGTGTAATCACCAGTGGGCCATGTCAAAGGATGTAAGAGACACTAGAAAATAGAGTAAGACCAAGAGGGTGGGCAGAAGGAGCTCTCAAGATACTCCAGGATAGCAAAAGTCAAGACAAGACAGGTGGTACCTGAGTCTCAGAGGAGAGAAGGCAGGCCCAGGTCCGAGCACTCCCAGACCTAGGGTGTTTCGTGACTGAAAAAGCCCCTGTCAGCTACTCTGCTTTGGGCTCCAGGTCTCTACACCAATGCAACCTGCTCCATAAGTGTGAAGATAGATGAGGCAAAGCCAGGCTGCTGAGGAAGCCCAGGTGACCAGGACAGAGCGGGCAAGCTGTGGTCTGAGATGGCCTGTCGTTCTTTGCCCTCACAGAGTCAGCCATGATGGAGGTGGCCCCCTCATTCTCCAGTGTCCTGAAGGACTGCACTGTCATTGAGGGCCAGGATTTTGTGCTGCAGTGCTCAGTGCAGGGGACCCCAGTGCCCCAAATCACTTGGCTGCTCAATGGTAAGTTCCCCTACCCTGCCCCCTGCTCCAGTCTCCTGGGCCCTTTGGTCCTGCCTGAATTGTCATTCATCACTCTTAACCATTTACTCCTTGGCCACCTCAGTGGCCATGCATAAGAAGGAAGCATGGAGTGCAGAGAGTGCAGGAATTGGGAGTCTGATGCTGACTGGCCGGGCAAGTCACTGCTGCCTGAGACTTGAGCTCCTCATTGCGTGATGGGAATTATGCCACCTACCTTACAGGCTGGCGGATGTGAAATTAAATTTGATCATTTATATAAAGTGGTTAATGAGGTGCCTGACACATAGGAGCACAAGCAATTTAATTTCTTTTCTTATAATCAGACTCATAATAGGCCCTTAATAGATATTTGATGAGTCAATAAATGAGCAAATAAATTAACAAACTAATGACCCACACCAGAAGTTGCTCAAGGGATCTTACCTTTTATTTAGTGGCAGGTGGTTCTGGGATTCAGAGACCAGTAATTCTTTTTAATGCTAGTACTATAGAGACATGCTGACTCTTCCCCCTCACCCCCTCCAAGTAAGGTCCTTTGAAAAAATGAATTACCATATATTATCACCTTTCTCTTTTTAAAAAGGCTTTTTAATTTCAAAAGTGTGGGAGAACACTGATTTTAGAACTGAGAACAGTCCATTAAATTGATAAGGTTAAGCAGGGACTGCTTTGGGAACCACAGGGAGGATGAAAGAACCTCTGCCAAGAGACTCGTCCTTCACCACCACTGAATGGTTGGGCGACCTTGGACACCCAACGTCACCTCTCTGGGTTCCGGCTTTATCAGTGAGGAGGCAGGCTGGAACAGGAGGTTCAGGGTCTCAGCCGCTCTTCCATCTGATAGAATTGGCTATTTAAGAGGGCAGTGGTACCCATCACTTAAGAACCAAGTAATCCCCAGTTGTGTCTGAGTCATTGACGTGTTGCCTATGAACCTTAATTGTTGCTAGAGTTTGCTCAGGCTTTGCTAGAAATTACCTTTAATGAGTGAGAGGAGATGCCGTGTAGCCTTCCTACATGTAATCTTGGGTAGATAAGTGAGAATTGAGGTCAGCCTTCCCTCCCACCCCTCACCTAACGACAGAACTTCTGTTGGATCCTGTGATTAACTGGAGGCAGCCTCCTTGTGGCTGGAACAGAATATGGGCATTAAGGACTAATAATGGATCTGAGTAAGACAGTTTCACTTCTGTGTGGCTCAGAGTCTAGACCAAGGATCAATAAACATTTTCTAAAACGGGCCAGATAGTCAAGATTTTCAGCTTTTTAAGCTGTGCAGTCTCTGTAGCAACTACTCTGCTGTTGCAGTACAAAATCAGCACAAACAAGTTAATGAATGTGTGGCTGCATTACAATAAAACTTTATTTATGGAAACTGAAATGTGAATTTCATATAATTTTCACATTTCGTGAAATATTATTTTTTCAGCCATTTAAAATGCGTAAGAGCTATTCTTAGTCTCCAGGCCATACAGAAACAGGCTGCAGGTTGGATTTGGCCCACAAGCTCCAGTTTGCTAACAGGACTGAATTCTTGGTGAATCTTGGCATTTCCACCCGCTTCCCACTAGAGGGTGATCGTGCTCAAATTGGGTTTCCTTGGCCACTAACTGGTGCCTCCGAGCTGGGAGAATTCCATGTCTCCCAGTTCTGATGTGCTCTGAGCCAACAGCTTTTTTCTGTGCGCTCCATTTCATCCCATGTTTGTGGGGCCAAAATGGGTTATGCTCCAGTAAAAGGAAAGCTCTCAAAAATCTTGTCAGCACATGTCTGGACAGCGAAGACAGGTTGACAGCAATCAGGGAATGTACTGATGTTCTCGAAGAAGGGAGGTTTTGGGAGTCATTATCCCAAAAATAAAAACAAAGAGCAATGTTCAGTCCTCTCAGTGGCAGGATCCTGCCCCTGCCTTTTCCAGCCCCCATCCCCATTTTTATGAAGTGCAATAGGTTGGGAAGAATCTCTCCCCTCCGGCCCTATGGCGTGCTTGATGGTCTCTGCCAAACTGTCCTGGAGACATGAAGTGTTGCTGTGTGCAGAAGAAAACATCACATTGCAGGAAGAGCACTTCTTTCTGTCCTTTCTGTCCTTTCCCCCACTGCCCACCCCCGATTTTATGAAGTGCAATCCAGGACCCTGGGGCCTGGCAAGGGAAGAAACTGACAGTTGCTTCCTATATGGCGGATAGACACATTCTTGCTTTAAGGCCAGAACCTTCAGTCATGAGATTTTTTTTCCCTGGAAATGAAAGGTTACATCCTGGAATGATGAAATCTCAGAAACATATAGCATTAAGGAAACCACTGAAGTTCATTGCATGCATTCCTATCTCCATGTAGGACTTTACCATGACCTGAATAAAAGGCTTTTCTTGAAAGGGACTCTGGGAAGAAAGGGTCAAAGTCATTTTTAGTTGCCCATATTTATCTTTTTTCTAAAACCTAAAGTGTACCTAATTACACAGTGGAAATGTGCCTAATTGCAATGTTAGGTTGGGGACACAGAGTTGCTTTCTGATAAATATCTACAATGGGAAATGGAACCATTGCTGCCTCATGTTCAGTCTGGACTGGGTCTGTTCCCCCTAAGGCTGGACTATGAGCAGGATGACCCTGTAAGATTCTTCCCAGGCTTGGGTTTCTGTGAAGTTGAGGATGTGGATCTGGAGACTGCTTAACACAGAATGCCCAGAATTGTGTCCCTCTCCCTCTTGCATTCTAAATTCCTCCAGAGTCTCTCTCCCCAATCCTTCCAGGCCCCGCCTTGCTCATCCACCAGACACAATCGCTCCCATTCCTTTGTCTTCTTAGCCCCTGCCTCTTTCTGCAGCCCACAAGCCTCATCCAGCTAGATGGTTGGGGACCTGCCACGCTGTTAGCCCTCAGTGGATCTGAGTGAGCATGGCGAGGCCTGGCTTCTTGCCAGCAGCAGCCCCGCTCGGTGCAGGGCTCACGTCCTTGCCCCCAGGTGCTCCCTGGCCTAAGCCTCCCTGTGCTTCCCTCCACAGGGTGGCCCATCCAGTACGCCCACTCCACCTGTGAGGCCGGTGTGGCGGAGCTCCATGTCCAGGATGCCCTGCCAGAGGACAATGGCACCTATACCTGTCTGGCCAAGAACGCCTTGGGGCAGGTGTCCTGCAGTGCCCGGGTCACCGTCCATGGTAGGAGCCTCTGCGCACCTCATTAGAAGCCCCTTTCCTGCAGACACTTTTTTTTTTTTTCCTTTTTGTCTTTTTTTCGTGTCCAGCAACGGATTGCAACCCTCAGTGTCGTGCCTGTACCGGACCGGGACCGGCAACGGGATCGCAACCCTCGGTGTTGCTCCCACACCTCGCTCAGCCAGTGAGCGGGAACCAGTCTGTATGTGGGATCCGAACCCTCGGCGGGAGCGCCACCGCGCTCCCAAGCAGCGCACTGTAGCAGTGCGCCACCGGGCTGGCCCCTGCAGACACGTTTGCATAGGAGGAAGGGCACTATAGCAAAAAAAATGATATTACTGGCCAAAATCCAGGGACCAGAAGTGCACATGATGTTGCTCTACATCATTACTGGCAGGCAGCTGAAACCTCTCAGGGACAGAGGAGAAATTCCTTAAAAAGCACTGCCCCTGAAGGCAGGCAGGTAGAGGAGATAGCCTCCAAGAGCTCACAGTGACAGGGTCTGCCATGGGAGGTGGCCAGTTGCCCACCCCCTCACCCCATCCGGGCCTTTGGGAAGATGCAGGGGAAAGAGGCAAGGGCTTCCTTGGCTCCAGAAACTCCTGGTCTGGTAGGAAGAAAACCTCACATGCTGTAAGAAGTCTTAGGAGGACTACTCACATATCCCCTTAGCAGTTGGGGGTCTTACAAATGACCCCTTATGTGCTGGGGGACACTGGGTGACAGAGAGTGGGTACTGAGGCTTGTAAAGGGCACAGGTTGTCCCCTTTCTCTTTTATCCCTGCTCCTCCCCACCACCCAGTAATCTGATTATCATGGTCATCCATTGATCAGCCGAGCACTTAGGCCCCAGGATCACAGGGAGCCACAGACTCAAGACAGATCTGTCTAGCTGTGGCATTGGCAGGCATGGTGGCAGTTCCCAGAGAGGTGCTTCTTGGGTCCAGGACTTTCAGGTAAGCCTGATTCCCACCCTTACCCTGGGTCTGTGCGCTCAGTTCCTGTGTGTGGCTGGGTCCTCTGGGTGCGTGGACTGGGTATAATGTGTCTGCTTTCTCTATTGGACTAGCTGAGACCACGTCTCTTCACTCTTTGTCTCCAGGGCTCAGACCTCTCAGGGAGGATCTCCCTGTAATGTGAGCAGCCACTTTCTCCGAGGCTGCAGAAGATGGTTTCGCTGGAAAGGAAAAGGGAAAATACATTTGCTGCTTACTGTGTTAAATATTTTCACCTCACCTGTATTATCTCATTGAGACCTTGACAGCCCACTGAGGGAGGATGGGGGCGCTGTCCCTATTTTACACAGGAGGGTCTGGAAGTCTCAACAAGTTAACGTTAACTGGCCCAAGTGCACCAAGCTAGTGAAGAAAGCTGGCCTTTTTAACCTAGATCCTGTGACTGTGAAGGCTATGCTCATTGCTATGCCCTGCCCTTTTTAGAGCATGTGTCCCTGGCCCAAAGGTGGGAGCTGGACAATGTCAGCCCCTTAGAGATAAAGGAAATGGCACTGATGTGGAATGTGGCCGACGCTGACCCTGTGAGGCTCTCTGCCAGAAGTGGGCACACTCTCTGGACTCTCTGATTTCTCTGAAAAAGTGCCTCAGCATAGAGTCGTCATCAGTGAACTGGTCTACCTGCCCCTTCCTTCCAGGATGCCCTCTTCATTTGGGTCAGAGCCTGGCTCTAGCCCCTGGGCATTTGTCAGCCAGCATTCTGGTTTACACATTTGCCCCATTTATCCTCATTGTTCTAATTTCATGGCTCATGGCAGGTGAGGGTGGGTGGGTGGATGGGAGGGGGTCAGGGAATTGTGATAATAAAACTTCAAAGGAAACAAGAACAGTTCGGAGCCTCCCTTGTCTCCTAGGGCCAAGGGAGCAGCTCTCACCTTACCACCAGGGGTTCTTCCATGTCTAGTCACGAGTGCAGAGTGTCAGAATGGCACATGAGGGGCCGCATATCCCAGCCTTCTGTTTTCTGAGACTCTCCCTTGCTAGCTTCAGCCAGCAGCCCAGCTAATCCAGTGCCTGTCCTGGTTGCCTGTGTCTAGATTGGATTAGAGAGACCCAACTGAGCTAGTAGTCCCCTCGAGGTGGGGGTTCCCAGATGAAGGGTCAAGAACTGTTTGGGGTCATCTTCCTGAGTCTGTGGGGGGGGGGCGGGGGGGAGGGGGTTCTTATCCGAACAATGGCCTATCCAACCATGCTTTAAAACTGAAGGAGAGAGGTCCCGGGCAAGAACTCTGCCAGGGCTGTTTGGATTTGCTCTAAGAACAGCCCTATGTGAGTGAGAACTCCCTCCCGGTGTAGGGGATTTACTGGCCTGCTAAAGCCAGGCGGAGGCTCAGATACCATACATGGTGAATGAGGCTGAGAGATGCAGCCACGTGCCCGGGCTCAGCAGCATGTGGGCTGTCTCTGCACAGGAATGGGGCAGGGAGAGCCTGCTGTGGTGGCACCCCTGGCACTGTGCCCCGCATGCTAGAGAGGCTTGAGCCTGCTTCCTGCACTGCGCTCAGCTGTGGTCCTTTTCTTTCTTTATAGGCAGCTCCTCTGCTACAGGTCTTCTGGGGCAGTTTAGGGGGTGGGGAAGTGACTTCAGTGGAGACATTTGTCTCCCAGTGCACTGACTGCTATTCCAGCCTCCCTCGGCTGCCCAGACTTAGCCTTGTGGTACCCTTAGTGTGGCACCAGGCCACAGTGGGGAGCAGGGATGTGGAGCAGACTGCCTGGGTGTGAATCCTGCTCCACCACTTACCAGCTCTGCAACCTGGGCAATATTTAACTCTCCAGGATTTGTCTTCCTCTTCTGTGAAAGGGGGATACCTATAGTCACGCACTACTGTGAGAATTAGATGAATGGATACATGCAGTGTCCCCAGAACACAGCTTTGCCACTGAACTGATGTTGGTAAAGGGAAGAGAGACTCTGAGACGGGAGGTGTTGGGCCAGACACGTAGAGTCGTGGACTCATGCCCCTAATGCCAAGGACTCTGGCCAAAATGTGGTGCCCTTCAGCAGCACATCTCCCTCCGGTTGTATTCTCCCTGGAGGAGCCATATCAGGGGGCAGCTGTACTGGAAACAAACTCAGTCTGAGTGTTCAGTGGAAACTATGCTGAAGGCCTGACGTGGGGACTCTTTCTCACCTGTTTAGCCTTTTGCCATGGTTTTGCAATCATCCAGAGTGCTGGCCCAGTCCTCTGACATGATTTCTGTGGCCACTCTCCCAAACTTTCTCTTTTCTGTAACCCTCTTCTCCCAGGAAAACCTGGCAAACTCTCACAAAAGTCACTTTCTCTGGGAAGCCTTCCCTAATCATCCCAGAATGAGTTCTCTTAACACCCTGGACTTTCCTTATTGCACTTACTTATCAGCAGATCTTTATTGAGCACCTCTATTTGTGCCAGGCCTTGTTCTGGGGAAACTGCAGTAAACAGAACAGATAAGGGCCCTGCCTTCCTGGTGTTTACATTCCAGTGGAGAGACGGGCAAAAATCAACACCTGGTTTGATCTCAAATACTGACAAGTGCTGTGAAGAGCAGAGTGTGAGAATAGAGAAGGGTACAAAAGGTACTTTTTCAGTTGTGTGATGAGGGAAGACTCAGAGACTTTAATGAACTAGGGAAAGAGTGCTCTAGGCAGGCAGGGCAGCAGGTGCAAAGGGCCTGAGTCAGGGACAAGGTCGGCCTATTCAAGAAGAAGCGAGACAGATGGCCAGTGTGGCTGGAGCTAAGTGATAGGTGGCAGAGTGGTAGGATGCGTTCAGAGACAGGCGGGGGTACCTGGTACAGGGCCTCTGGGGTAAGGAGAAAGCATTTGCTTCTGACTGTGAACTTTTACTCTAATTGCCTGTTCACTTGTCTTCCCTACCAGACTGTAAGCTCTCTGCAGGGAGGGGTCCTGTCTTGTTGTAGAACAGGCCCACCACGTGGGCATGTGTTCAGTTAATGAATGAGAGAGCAAAGTGAGGTGGTCGAGACTCACCGCATGCAGGGAGGCACTTCCTCAACTTCCTCACTTGTCTGGGGGCTCAGTGCTCATGGAGTATGCAGGAAATCTGTAAATTAGCTCTCAAGAGTCACTCAACATATATTCCTTCTTTCCTCCCCACAGGCAAGGGGAAAAAAATCCCCAATAGTCAACCAGGCAATGAAAGTCTTCCCTCCTGACCCAAGATGGAGCCTAAAGGATGATTAATTCAAATTCCTGCAGAGCCCAGGAAGATCTGAAATAGAGTGAATGTTTCACTGAATGTGGACTGAGTCACTGGTGGGAGGCGTCCTTGGGCTAGAATATTTTAAATTTATTTCCCCTTGGAATATCTTTATCAAGGCTAAAATTCTTAAGTACTAGATTTATTAATAACATACTAATTGTGCCCATTTTGACATAGTTTTTCAGCCTAATGGTTTGCTTATTTAACCGGAGGCCTGCTGAGCCTATTAGAGGCACCTAAGGACGTAAAATATGGATAAATTAAAAAGCAAAAAGAAAAGCTGATCTCTAGCATAAAAAAATAAAATTTAGTAAGCATGTTTATTAGAGTGTTTGTTTTGATGAAGAGCCCTTAATGAAGACACAGGCACAGTGAAGTCAGCCATTCACTCCACACTGACAGCATCAATAGAGGCACACTTTGTTTTCAGATTAGTACCAGGCACTCGGGGGCAGTTCTGAGTTCCCAAGTTGTGCTTTGGGACACTATATAATCTGTCCAAACTCTAAGAAGGTAAGCAATTAGTTAAACATTAAATAAACTTATAACCAATATTTTAGTTTCATATAGGTTAGATACAGAATTTGGCTTGTGTACCACGTGGGTCCTTCATGTTACAGAAAGACTTCCAAGTGTCCATGTGTACACTTGTGCCCATATCATAGAACTTGAGCCTCATTTTACTAATTGGACAATTATAGGACTTATAACTACTGCTACAGCTATAGCAGGTCACACCTACCATTTATGTGCCTGGAGTCCTTGGAATGTCATACAGAATTAC